TGCCTCCGTAAACACCTATTGCGAAATGTCGGCTTTGACAGAGACAGCCGCCATTTTGGACCCGCTTCAGATTTTTGAATGCTGATATCTAGAGTTTAGACTTATTACCATTCAAACAATTTATATAGTAAGCATGATTAGAAGGGTCTCTATAAACAAGCCGAAAATCAATGAAAAATACTGAAAAACAAAAAAGTTAGAAAATACGATTTTTTTAAATTTGCATCTCGTTACGACCGGAAGTACTGACGACGCACGAAAAGGTGATTCCGCAAACCACAAAGTCATGTTCTATAATCTCCAAGAAGTCTCCAGTTCATATCCTAAACCGTTTTCGATAAAAAGGGGCGACAAAATTGCATTTTAAAATCAGGAAATCGTCCATAACTTGGCACCAGAAGCGAATTTTCAAATTTTGCACCAAAAGGAACAACTTCATATTATAACTCATATTTTGTGAAAGTTTCATGAAAAACTGCTGAATAGTTTTCGAGAAATCGCCTGCACAAAATTTTGTCAAAAAAAGAATAAGAATAATAAGAAACAATACAATCACTATAAGGTCTTCCGTGAAGACGGAAGACCTTAATAATAATAATAATAGGGAAAAAGAAACCGAACGAAAACAATAACGTCTTCCGTTGGAGACGGAAGACCTTAATAAGAAACAGAGTAAAAATAATATGTTCCCCAACTTCGTTTGGGGAACATAATTACTTAAGGGGGATGTACGGCCACTTTTAGTGCAGTGAGAGCAAAATGTAAACATTTCTTCAAATGGCTAAAATACATTATATTTTGATCAAATTTTAAGTCTTTTTGATAAAGATACAATAAATATGCATAACTGAATGCATGTTGTGCATATATAATCTATACTTTTGCAGAAAAATGCTTTTGATATGCTCCTTAGAACTGCGCAGCTACAGAATTCAGCAGAGCCTTAAAAAATCCCAAAAAATATGCAAACTGTGCATTAATGTTCTCTCTACAACCATTTGTTGAGAAAATGTCTAAATTTTGCACTTTTAAATGATAATTTCAAGTTCAAAACAAGGTACCGTTGTCTTCAAAAAGAGTGTAAAGAACCATGAAAGTAGTTCATGGATAGCAGCACGTGGTCTATTTTTAGCACAGAATCTTGTTTTCCAGACCTCTTCTTAATATGGAGGGGCATAACAATCTTTAAATGTAGAAGAGAATTACAGTTGCAAAATATTTCAAATAATATGAACACTTTTAAAAGAGGAAAGGTGTTATAGTGTGGCTTGAAGTAATTTATTTAGTATTATTATCGAACAGTTGTTAAATAGTTTACGTATTGATATAAAAAAAATTTAAACTCTGTGATTCCAGGTAAGGAAAAATGAGCACCATCAAAGTTAAAAATTAAGAGTTTGTAAGTTTGCCACAGATAAATTATATTATCTATCAAAATTTTAATTATCACCAATAAAACACAAAGAAATTAGACACATAAAATTGATACGAATGACCTTGTTTTAGTACCTACTAGTACGAAGCGTTATCAAAAAGTTCGCGAAAAATCTGTATATCTACAAAACCACAATTCAGATTAGATAGCCAAACACAAGTTCTATAAATAGCATATGCTGAAGTTTTGCTCCTCGTTTGTGATGTCACAATCCGAAAATGACGTCATTATTCAGGTACTTTTGACGAAAAATGCTTGTCTCAATGGAACTCGTTCAACAAACGACTATAATATTTATGGCACATGTATATCTTAGTTCACAGTTTATTAAATGGCTTCCTATAATTTCAATCAATGATTGGATATCGTTTTAGTGAAGGAAGGCAGATGGTTAAATATGATACTTGTTATGTTGCCCCGTGAAAGCAAGTTTGAAAAGGGATGTGTTTTTAATAAAGCAATATGCTATCAAAGACCTCCATTTTACACTTTGAAAAATACTTGAATATTTCAACAATAATATAAATATCAAATACCTAGCTAAGATATTGTTTACTTTTTGATCACCCCTCGTATACTGTGTCAAATAAACATGCATTTACAATTTTCATTACAGAGGAGCAACAGTTGAAAAGGCATGAAATCATTCAGACTGGGTTAGGAGATTTAAGGAATAATTTTTTTTTTTTCTATTTGCCCATATTTTCAAAATTACAATTGTACAAAGTAAAGAGAAAAAATCAACATATAAACATCTTTAAAATGATGTTTTGGTGGTCTTCCCAACTCAGGGAAAAATTATTGGGTCCTTATTTATAGGTGAGAAAAAAATTCTTAAAATTTAAACAGAATTGTTGACGGAAGAAAAAGAAAGAAATATCGTGTAATGGGATGTTAAAAAAATGAGTCGGGCCATTTCTAGGCAGTAGATCGGGAGAGAGGGCAACCAAATATTTTTATAACAAGTGGTCTTATAAGGCTAGTACATGTTCCATCACATACTTAGTAATGCAAATTTTTAAATCTTTGACACTATTTTGAAAAACAAACATAGGATTTTCGGGGGGAGGGGGGGGGGGCTCTCACTTTTTTTTTGCGATGATAGACATAGCATATGCAATGGACCTTTCTTTGCAAACATTGTGCTCGCTTCTAAATTTCATAGAAACAACTCATTATATTTTATCAAGCTTCGTATGTTCAATGAGCGAGAGCTTACAACGTTGTCAACATAATGAGACATGATGCGTTTTTGTGTCCAAACATGACCCCATACAATGTGTGGGTCATTGCAAACATTCTAGCTATTTATGTGAGGTGCCTGAAGGAAATCCTATAACTGCCTATTTTTTCTATCTAACTTCTAAACAAAATAGACATATGTACCAACTTTTCGAATGTAAGACATGTAATTACAATTTATTTTTCATGCACTGCATATTGTTTAACATTTTCAAATTAAATGCTAAGCATCCTCCTTGCAGTGCCCCATTTGAAAATAACTTCTATCGCCACGGAAAAAAGACCCACCGTAAACACATATGTTTAGGACATTTTTATCTTTTTTTCTTGAGTTTTAAAGAAACCAACAAATTATCAAGACTTGTTCCATAAAAATTAAATATAATCATGGTAATAAACGGATCTATCCACAGCAGATATATGCACATGCCAACCATGTGCTTAGTGGAATAATATTAACGAGGAATTTCGAGTTGTAAACAGAACAGTTTTTCCCGATTTGCTGGAGTGAGGTTAAAATCGCGTTTTTTCATTAATCAGACGATGCGATGCAACAAATAAAATTAGTAAGTAATATAACCTAATGATTATTACTTAGTAATTTCTTGTCTTGATGTTATTATGGTCGCATTTATTCTAAAATCATTGTTATTCGAACTCTGTGTGACAGAGGAATGGCGGACGAAATAAACACATGGCCTCAGGAAGACACCCATAAGAAAAATCAAATTTTCAAGAATTATGGATAATGACAAGCAAAAAACGAAACAAATGGTTGTAGCCATATTATCAATGAATCAAACTAACTCCATTTTCAATGCATTTTTCATCTCATGAATGCTGTAGCTGCGCAGTTCTAACATGATTAATTTTCTTCTAATTAAGACAAAATAAACTTAATTATTTACTAATTTTTTTCTCTAACAGTAGGTAATTAGTGCATTAGCACTTTGAGTAACTTTGAGCTAGTTTAGTAGATTATTAAGCTCATTCTTGGTATTTCTTAGTTTACACCAGACTAGATCCAATATGGCTTGTACATCCCCCTTAACATAAACAGTCAAACAGTCTTTACCATTATGAATACGAATTAGATTATAAGAAAAGTAATTCTAAAATAATGAACAGTGTTGGTAGATCTGTGTCATGTTTATAAATTTGTGTTTTCAGTCGTGATATCTAGATATGATAGGAAATGAGGATACAATAATGCATATAATATATACACTTTCTGAAATGACTGGATTTTGGAAAAGTTTTATGATAAAAAATTAAGTAGGTCCTTTTTATCAACATTTTACATAGGAAATGCATTGAGAATTGTAAAAACATTGATTTGACAAAAGCTAATAAGGAAGAGTGACTTGGTGCATGCGCGGATCTAGAGGGGGGGGGGGGGTCAGGACCCCCCCTGGAATTTATCAGGTTAAAAAATGTATATACTAAAACAAGGAAAAAGTTACGATGGACCCCCCTTGGAAAACGCAGACCCCCCCCCCTGGTTAACACGAATTTTTGTAAAATGGGTATTAAAAGTTAAAGATTAGCGGCAACTGAAGTCATCACTACCCCCCCCCCCCCCCCCGAAATAGGTTTTTGATGTTTGGGCGAGTTTTACTTTATGGTTTTTTTTTTTTTTTTTGCTTGTCAAGAAATTTCTGGGATTGGATTTTTTTTTTGACTGAGGTGGACCCTCCCTGGAAAAAATTTCTGGATCCGCGCCTGTGGTGGGTTAAATGTACCAGAATATAACATGTTTATTATCATTACACCTGTTCAAGAGTTCTTGAAAAAATCTATACAAAAGCCAGGAACCTTGCCAATGTCCTAAAAAGTCTTAAGTCTGTTCTCCACTAGTACTGTACGAATTTCCTCAAATGTGGGTTTATGAATTATAAGCACTTTTTCCTGTGAAAAGATTTGCCATTTCCTACCATCTTTATACTAAACTCAAAGAGATTGTAACGAGGTTTTAATCATAAAACTTTGAAAAATTCTAAATTAACTGAAAAAGGTATGTTCATATGACATGTATCTTTAGTCACCTTTCCTTATCGATGAATGAATTCAACTTAAAATTTTTAAATATTCTCAAATAAGTGTATGAATGTTTTATTTTTCCTTTTCATGTGGCACTGGTCAATTTTTATTTCAAGACGTTTTTGATAAATTCATAGAACCATGCATAATTTCTGCTTTGCACAACTTTTTAAATTTATATCAATGTTAGGTATTTTCTGGATAACTATGTAATGAAGGCTTGTTTTTACAAACGTTGATGTAATTGGTTTCTTTCATAACTACTTATGAAGATGAGCTGCCGAATAAATTTCGAGTTTTCACTTAGGACAAGAAATAATAAAAACCCATGTAACAGTGCGTAATATACATGTATAGAAGTAAATAGTTTTAATAATTGTTACATTTTTGTTTGATACTGTTGGAAAAAATAGGAAGAATTTTTATAATAATTCAATGCATTAAAATATTTTTTCTGGGGGAAGGGAATTCAAGTTTTGAAATATCACATGTGATATAAAGACCATCTCATCAAAAATTAACCTGGTTTTATGATCAGTACGTATTTTAAAATATTTTCAGAAACGATCGGAATGGCTGTTACCAAAACGCTAATCATTAACTTGTCGACGTCAGCAGTGGGTATCTTTCTTTGCTTCGTTGCATTGGTAACACCTGGATGGCTTTCAGCGGTAATACAATAAAGTCGACAGAAATAAATAAAAATAATACGATATCCTTTACCATTTACTTCAAAATAAGGACAATGTACCATAGAATTTTTTTCTAGCACTAAATAGCACGTTATATAAAACCTTATTATTTTTGATGATTGTTTTAAAGTTTTGATTGTTTCTTTTCTTTTGTAGGACGAATCTTCAGTCGGTGTATTTTACATGTGTACTTACCCTTCTGGTCAATGCTCTGCATTTCTTTTCAACAATTTAAATACGAATTGTGGTGGATTAATTAACTTTCGTAAATACATTACAGATACTACAGAATTACTCATTAAAGATATTTTAGAAACAACATTCAGAACATGTCGCTATTTATGTAATTATCGGTGTCTATTTTCTAGATCTGACAGATGTACAACTAGCTGGTGTTATTGCTATCGTACTTGGTGTAATTGGTTGGTTGGTTCTTTTGGTTTATGCCATTTCCAAAGAGTCATCTGACTCTGCGTTTTTTACAAGCGGAATAATTCTGCTTGTTGCATGTAAGAGTTATTCATTTTGAAACTTAATTAAATGGTTTTGTAACCGTAAATATAAATTTCATAAAATTCTGTCTGTATAATGCATCGTCATTCTTATGTTTATATTACAGCCACATTCGAATTTTTCCTTTTGGTTAAATTTATTCTTCTCAACGTTTTCCTATTCCAAAGAGTAGTCCACATTGGATTTCCTTTCTCTATGCTCATTTCCAGCTTTGGCCTCGTTCTTATTATGTTTACGGTCGTGAGGATTTTCATTCGTAATGAACAAATGTTGAACAGTTGCAACTCTAATGAGCGTGCCATTACCTCTGAGCCTGACACGTCACTGGATTGAATGAACTTCAAGGATAATTCGTTCTATATGTATGCAATGTCACAGAATGCCTATGAAGTAACTCTGAACTTCAATGCTTTATAAAAGTCTGTACTCAAACATTTACCGAAAGTTTTAGAATAAAGTTTTGTATGCTGTATCCTTTGATATTTTTTGTAACATAGAATAAGACAAGAGCAATAAAGTATAATAATATTAAAATGTCTCTGTCTCTGTCTCTCTCTTCTTTGGTTTTGTCTCTCTGACTCAGTTACTTCTAACTCATGTGAAATAAACTATTTATATGCATTATACTTCTATTTTTCATAATTGTTTACAATTAAAAATCATGGAAATAATTCTTTTTCTATAATAAAGAGAACATTCTTTCGTTGTTAATGTGTTTGTCTTTCTACATTCTAACAATTTACACTTTAAAACTCAACGTTTAGTTTTATGTTGAAAACGTCTATAAAATAATTCAAGTAAACATTATTAAATGAAACTTTCTATTTTGATTAGATTAATTTTTATGCATCTCTAAGTAAAGTTTTCATGACAAAAGTGTATACTAGTAAAAAGTGTGTGTTATCATAGCACATTGGAATATAGTGGGTTATAATCACAATAAAGATTGTATTTTTGTAAACATTGTTTTTTATGGAGAGTTAAAATATGTATTCATAGCAATGTATTTGATAGAATCAGAGAAACTTTTTATAAATATATTTCTGTAAAATTTTGAGTTCATCTTACAATATTATGAGGTGCCGTTTTGGTATCTGCTGGCAAAAAGTATATATATATATATATATATATATATATATATATATATATATATATATATATATATATATATATATATATATATATATATATATATATATATATATATATATATATATATATATATATATATATATATATATATATATATATATATATATATATATATATATATATATATATATATATATATATATATATATATATATATATATATATATATCACCTATTTGAATAGGTGGTATCACTTATTCGAATAGGTGATATCACTTTTTGGCAGTAAATACCAAAAACGGCGCCCCATACAATATGCAGATCATCGATCTGTCTAAATCCAGTCAAATATTTGCCATCGAGCAATATAAACGTCAACAAAATTATTCATTCTACTTATTTCGACTGAAATTGAACTTTTTAAACTATAAATTATGTTCGACAATTTCAAAATACAAAAATGAAATCGCAAACTTTCATCACCCACCTTTCATTTCAATAATGCATAGAAAAGTGGAGGTAATCCGTAAGCAAAGTGACCATAAGTACCGACACAGTATGGGTGGATAATAAAAACATTCCGACTTCACTTATAAATCCATATTTTACAAAATAGGAAACTCTGTAAGTTCAGTTGCTGATATTAGGGGTTTGCCAGTTTGCCGGTATCCAACTTTGTGTAGACCACTGCACGGACTATATACCTGTCAACATGAATCGAACAAATAAGGTATTTGTTTTATAATATATATATATATATATATAATGTTAAAATTTTTTAATAAGTGCAAAAATCTCCAAGGTCAAAAGGTCAATGTAATTAGTATCAAATGAAAGGTCTTGCCACATAAAATACTTATGTAGAGCATGAAAGCCCTAGCCCTAACCGTTCAGAAGTTATGATCAACGTTCAATTTCTTTAAAAGTAGGTCAAAGTCCAAGATCAAGGTCAAAGGGTCAAAATTATTGTTATCAAATGAAAGGTCTTGTCATAAGGATCAAATATGTAAAGTATGAAAGCACTATAGCCCTAACTCTTTTAAAAGTTATGGTTAAGGTTTGCTTTTTTAAAGTAGGTCAATCTCAAAGGTCAAGGTCAAAGGGTCAAAGTTCTTGGTATCCAATGAAGTGTCTTCTCACAAGGATTACATATGTGAAGTATGAAAGCCCTATCCCTTACCGTTCAAATGCTATGGCCAAGGTTTAAGTTTTTTCACAAGTACGGAAATCTACAAGGTCAAGGTCAAAGGGTCAAGGTTGTTGGTATCCAGTGAAAGGTCTTTTAACAAACATTATATATGTGAACGATAAATGTCCTGGTGTCTACTGTTCAAAAGATATGGCCAAAGTAAAATTTTAAAATTTTCATGTAAAAGTGGGTCAAACTCTAAGGTCAAGGTCAAAAGGTCAAATTTGGTGGTACCCAAAGAAAGGTCTTGTCACAAGGAATACACATATGAAATATGAAAGTCATAGCTCCACTAAATCAAAAGTTATGGGCGAGGTTAAAGTTTTTTTGCGGACAAACAGAGAGACAGACAGACAGACGGACACGACAAAAACTATATACCCCCGAAACTTCGTTTACGGGGCATAAAAAATATTCACGGTGATTTAACATGATTCATATAAGTAATATTTAAATCATTTATGAATTAACTGGTCAGTTTACAAGTTATAATACCAATTTGTACCTCAAGCAAAAAAAAAATATATATATATAAATAATTTGTTGACAATAAACAGAAAAGTGTTGTTTTTTTTCCAATCCAATCCTTCCTCGTTCAATATACTTCCTACAAGCGTTTAAAACACATTTCCGGCACTTTATTTTATCATATTTATAAGTGTTTATGAATAACATTATATGCAAACATTCTGAGTTTCTGACAGATGTGTAAAAATGTCAAAGTTTTACGTTCCCTTTCCTCCAAAGAAAGGTACCGTACCCAAGAAAGAAACCAATTTTAATGAAGAAGATAAGATGAAATACAGAGAAATACAAATTTATGTTGGTATTTTATCAATAAATTCAGTCTTAATAATCAACAGGAATGGATGGTAAGTAAAATCCATATAAATGTTCAATTTCCAGAATGGAAGAAAAAAAAAACTTTTGGCATACATGGTCGATAAACTGACCTTGCCAACTGCTATTTAGCTTTAAGTCAAATCCTGACTGACTTTTTATACTAATCGTTAGGCCATTATTTGGTCGATAGATTGTTTCTCGGTCTAAAAATAAGCACACGGCGGGTGTGACTGGTCAGCAGGGGATGCTTACTCCTCCATGGCATCTTATCCGACCTCTGATGTTTTGGAGGTCTACGTTTGCTCTGCTGCTGATTTGAATTTTTAAATGGACTTTTGAGCTTAAACACTATTCGTTATCTCCAGATATTTCATGTCGAAAAACTTTCATCATTTTTTTTTCAAAATGCAATCTTGAAGTGAAAATCACTATATGGGAAATATCTTTAATCTACTTGTACATGAAAATGTTTGCAAGAAATACATAGAGTCACACCATACTTTATTTACTCGTCAATAAAAAGCTTTAACATTATGATTCATTTCCTACTCTTGTATTCTTAAGTGCACGAGGAGGACAGAGTAATGATAAAGAAAATTAATGCCTTGACCGTCTTCCTCGCGACATGAAAAGAAAAAAAATTGAAAAATGTGGAGCTTACAAACAGGGATCGCTATTATAAAGTCCGTTCATAAAATGAATCGTTAACAGCGTAGTAGGGAGCATGATAAACCCAAAAATGGGATCTGAAGCCCAGGTGAAGAGAGCAACCCATGTCAGTCCTGTTACAGGCGTCGAAAATCCTCTATTTTGATCAGTTGAAACTTCAAAGGACTTATCTGTTGCAAAATATACGATAAAACATACCTTTAAAGTAAACGTTGTATTTGTAGTCACAGTACAGGAACATATAACATATGCCAAATGCTGACTTTAAAGAAGTTTAAAGCCCACAGCATGAACTCGGTTTTAAATTTTAAAAAAAACGACCGGGGTTTCCATTGCCCAAATACTTCACGCAGCATCTTAAAAAAATGAGAGTATCTACTGTTCTAAAGCAGTTTTTTTCCCACATGATTTATAAAATTTAACAAAATTAAGAAATAATTGTCTATTTTAAAGCATTTACGATTGGGATCATCCTGACCAAACAGATGAATCAGCTAAGGCGTTTTTGAAAGAGTATCCAATGGACAATGGCCTCATAAATTTTTCATTTCACAGGCTGAATACTATCGTTTAGTAAAAGAAGAAAAGTATTTCGAAATTTCGAGATGCGATCCCGGGTCCTCTCACATTTGAAGCGAGAGACATACTACTAGACCACGGAGCCGCTGTAACATTGCGACAATTGTATACAAACATAAAGTGACATACATGTATATATTCACGTTCGATAATGTCAAAATTGTACACAATGCATGGTGTCTAATTTAACCTTTATTAAACAGTTCTTATAGATGTAATAAGAATATAAAGTCCATCGAGAACCTGTTTTATACGTAATAACTCTCCTCATGTCCCTGTGCTAAAAAAGCGACATGTAATACAATAAATACTAAAAAAAAACAAACGGGGCTTGGCACTTTGAGAGGAGTGAGAGAGGTCCTAGGGAGTTTTGGTATAATATTACATAGCAAAAGCTCAAAATCTTCTTGAAATATCGCCCGAAAATGATAGTGTTTCATACAAACAGAATGTATAAATTTATGACCTTGAACTTTGAACTTTTGACCTCAAAATCAATAGGGGTCTTCCTTAGACCACAGGGAGTTGTTATGTAAAATATCATTGCAAAAGAGCAAAGGATTCTCGAGATATCGTGTGGAAACGAAAGTGTTATAACAGACAGAATTTGCTTATTTCTTACCTTGACCTTTGACCTTTTGACCTCAAAATCAATAGGGGTCTTCTTTAGTCCATAGGGAGTTGCTATGCTAAATTTCATTGCAAAAGCTCAAAGGGTTCTCGAAATATCGTGTGGAAACGAAAGCGTTACAGACAGACAGAAAGACGGACGGACAGACCTACGGACGGACAAACCGAAATTAATATCCCCTACTTTTCAAGCGGGGGACAAAAACAGTGATTGTTTTGTTGTACATTGTGTTCAGGGACAGACAGTAAACAGTGGTCAAAAGACCGTTATTTACCGTATATCCATGCTGGGAAGGACAATCACAAGATATGACAAATGCCGAGAACCTGTAACTGAATGAGGTCGTGCGAAGGAGGCACCACTTTGTCTTACATGTAGTAATTGTAAACAAATATAAAAGAAATCTATGCCAACATTTTTATGAAAATTTGTTTCCAATATTATGGTAAATTACTTAACATAAACAGTCAAACAGTCTTTACCATTATGAATACGAATTAGATTCTAAGGGAAGTAATTCTAAAATAATGAACAGTGTTGGTAGATTGTGTCATGTTTCTAAATTTATGTTTTCAGTCATGATATCTTGATATGATTGGAAATGTGGATACAATATGTATATAATATATACACTTTCTGAAATGACTGGATTTTGGAAAAGTTTTATGGCAAAAAATTAAGTAGGTCCTTTTTATCAACATTTTACATAGGAAATGCATTGAGAATTGTAAAAACATTGATTTGACAAAATCTAATAAGGAAGGGTGGCTTGGTGGGTTAATTGTACCAGAATATAACATGTTTATTATCATTACACCTGTTCAAGAGTTCTTGAAAAAATCTATACAAAAGCCAGGAACCTTGCCAATGTCCTAAAAAGTCTGAAGTCTGTTCTCCACTAGTACTGTACGATATTCCTCAAATGTGGGTTTATGAATTATAAGCACTTTTTCCTGTGAAAGGATTTGCCATTTCCTACCATCTTTATACTAAACTTAAAGAGATTGTAATGAGGTTTTAATCATAAAACTTTGAAAAATTCTAAATTAACTAAGGTATGTTCATATGATATGTATCTTTAGTCACCTTTCCTTATCGATGAATGGATTCAACTTAAAATTTTTAAATATTCTCAAATAAGTGTATGAATGTAGTATTTTTCCTTTTCATGTGGCACTTGTCAATTTTTATTTCAAGACGTTTTTGATGCATAATTTCTGCTATGCATAACTTTCTAAATTTATATCAGTGTTAGGTATTTTCCTGGATAATTATGTAATGAAGAGCTTGTTTTTTACAAACGTTGATGTAATTGGTTTCTTGCATAACTACTTATGAAGATGAACTGCCGAATAAATTTCGAGTTTTCACTTAGGACAAGAAATAATAAAACCCATGTCACAGTGCGTAATATACATGTATAGAAGTAAATAGTTTTAATACTTGTTACATTTTTGTTTGATACTGTTGGAAAAAATAGGAAGAATTTTTATAATAATTCAATGCATTAAAATATTTTTTTCTGGGGGAAGGCAATTCAAGTTTTGAAATATCACATGTGATATAAAGAGCACCTCATCAAAAATTAACCTGGTTTTATGATCAGTACGTATTTTAAAATATTTTCAGAAGCGATCGGAATGGCTGTTACCAAACCGCTAATCATTAACTTGTCGACGTCAGCAGTGGGTATCTTTCTTTGCTTAGTTGCATTGGTAACACCTGGATGGATTTCTTGGGTAATACAATCAAGTCAACAGAAATGAATAATAATCAGTGGCGGATCCAGAAATTTTGAAAAGGGGGGGGGGCGACCAGTTTAAGGTCAGGGTGGAGGCCCACAGCCACACAAAAAAACATCGATTTGTCAAATATTGTGTATTTTTTGGACTCAAAAAGGGGGGGGGGCGGGCCCCCCTCTAAATCCGCCACTGATAATAATACGATATCCTTTACCATTTACTTCAAAATAAGGACAATGTACATAGAATTTTTTCTAGAACTAAACAGCATATGTTATATAAAACCTTATTATTTTTTATGATTGTTTAAAAGTTTTGAATGTTTCTTTTCTTTTGTAGGACAAATCTTTAATCGGTGTATTTTACGTGTGTACTTACCCTTTTGGTCGATGCTCTGCATTTCTTTTCAACCATTCAAATGTGATTTGTGGTGGAATCATTCACTTACGTAAATACATTACAGTTACTTTAGAATTACTTATTAAAGATATTTTAGAGACAACATTAAGAACATGTCGCTATTTATATAATTATCGGTGTCTATTTTCTAGATCTGATAGATGTACAACTAGCTGGTGTTATTGCTATCGTGCTTGGTGTAGTTGGTTGGTTGGTTCTTTTGGTTTATGCCATTTCCAAAGAGTCATCTGCCTCTGTGTTTGTTAGAAGCGGAATAATTCTGCTTGTTGCATGTAAGAGTTATTGTCCCCCGCTTTCGCGAAAGCGTGGGGACATTAAATGTCATTCGTCTGTCCGTCCGTCACAAAAACTTTAACCTTGCCCATAACTTTTGATTTAGTCGAGCTATGACTTTCATATTTCATATTTGTATTTCTTGTGACAAGATCTTTCTTTAGGTACCACCAAATGTGACCTTTTGACCTTGACCTTGGAGTTTGTCCCACTTTTACACAAAAATTCCAAACTTTTACTTTGGCCATAACTTTTGAATGGAAGGTACTAGGACTTTTATATTTCATATATGTATTATTTGTACAAAGACCTTTCAATGGATACCAACAACTTTGACCTTTTGTCCTCGACCTTGGAGATTTATGTACTTATGAAAAAACTTTAACTTTGTCCAAAACTTTTGAATGGTAAAGGCTACGGATTTCATACTTCATATATGTAATCCTTTTGAAAAGACCTTTCATTAAATACCAAGAACTTTGATCCTTTGACCTTGACCTTGGAGTTTGACTACTTTTTAAAAACTATAACCTCGGTTACAACGTTTGAACGGTGGATACTAGGACTTTCATATTTCATATATGCAATCTTTGTGGCAAGACCTTTCATTGGATCTCAACAATTTTGACTTTTTGACCTTGGAGATTTATGTACTTATGAAAAAACTTTAACCTTTACCAAAACTTTTGAATGGTAAGGGCTAGGGCTTTCATACTTCACATATGTAATTCTTGTGAGAAGACCTTTCATTAAATACCAAGAACTTTGATCCTTTGACCTTGACCTTGGAGCTTGACCTATTTTCCAAAAACTTTGACCTTGGACACAACTTTGGAACAGTAGATACTGGGACTTTCATATTTCACATATGCAATCTTTTTGGCAAGACCTTTCTTTGATATCAACAACCTTGACCTTTTGACCTTGACCTTGGACATTTTTTACTAATAAAAAACTTAAACCTCGACTATAACTTTTGAATTTTAAGAGCTAGGGCTTTCATACTTCAAATATATAATCTCATGAGAAGACTTTACATTGGATACCAAGAACTTTAACCCTTTGACCTTGACCTTGGGTTTTGTGATGATTTCTAAATAAATGACATATGATAGGGTGTTCCTATTACACACAATACGTCATAAACAATGACATCTCAGCCACAATGACACCGAAAGTGGGGGACCACAATTCCTTGAATTTGCTTGTTCAATTTGAAACTTAAGGTAATTCCATCCTCCTATGATGTCATGGGTTTTTGCAAAAACTGTAATTAGTTTAAATTCATACCTAATAGAACAATATAAAGAATTTTGAAAAATGCATATTTTCTATATGTAATCAATTATTTAATCTTTAAAAAATGTTGACAAGGGCAATAACTCCTTCTAAGGTCTCTTCATTCAGGCATTTGCTTTATTGTAAAATAGTTTTCCTGATATTCACAATTCAAAAGTATCTTTTAAGTAGGAAGTATTTAGGAACATGTAGCATCAGAATTATGCATTTTAAGCAGTTTTTACATATTTTTCATAATACTTTTACAAAAAATGTGCGATTTTTTATGCAGACATACACTTCTGTTTATTTATGTTTTGCATCTTAAATAATATGGTGACCTATACATTTTTTGCAATAATTGGAAAGTTTAAAGTATAATAAATGAAAATAAATCCAGTTTTTATACTTTGAACCTATAAAATTGTGAGGGTGGAAACACCTTAAATGGTTTTATAACCGTAAAATATAAATTTCAAATAATTTATTAAACTTTTAAACACTCTGTTTTAATATTTTATTATATGAATGTTAAATATTTTTTTTTAATTTAAATTGTTTTAACTCCGCAGAAACGCACGACGACTTCAAACTTTCATATCATATTTAACCGACCGCCTCCTGGCGGCCGGTAAAAATTCTGTCTGTATAATGCATCGTCATTCTTATGTTTATATTACAGCCACATTCGAATTTTTCCTTTTGGTTAAATTTATTCTTCTCAACGTTTTCATATTCCAAAGAGTAGTCCACATTGGATTTCCTTTCTCTATGCTCATTTCCAGCTTTGGCCTCGTTCTTATTATGTTTACGGTCGTGAGGATTTTCATTCGTAATAAACAAATGTTGAACAGTTGCAACTCTAATGAGCGTGCCATTACCTCTGAGCCTGACACGTCACTGGATTGAATGAACTTCAAGGATAATTCGTTCTATATGTATGCAATGTCACAGAATGCCTATGAAGTAACTCTGAATTTCAATGCTTTATAACTTCTGTACTCAAACATTTACCGAAAGTTTTAGAATAAAGTTTTGTATGCTGTATCCTTTGATATCATTTTTTGTAACGTAGAATAAGACAAGAGCAATAAAGTATAATAATATTAAAATGTCTCTGTCTCTCTCTTTTCTTTGATTTTGTCTCTCTGACTCAGTTACCTCTACCTCGTGTGAAATAAACTATTTATATGCATTATACATCTATTTTTCATAATTGTTTACAATCAAAAATAATGAAAATAATTCTTTTTCCATGATAAAGAGAACATTCTTTCGTTGTTGTAAAATAAATTATAAAATGTATATTCTTGATCTTTTTATTTTAAGTAAATTTATCAAAATTGACCATTTGTGCAAAAAAAATTGTCAGTTAATTTTACAAGGGCGATTACTTTAAGACAAAAATTTATAGGAACGGTCTACCAAAATATTCTTCATTTCACTTAATATATATATTTCGGGATTGACATTCACCATCTTTATCCCTTGTTTGCAATCAGTTTATTTGAATTCTATATTTTCAATATTTTTTTTCTGCTCATGCAGACATTGTGAGGTTGCGTTGATACTAGCCAAGATGCACTTGCATCTTGACACCCTTGTAGTTCTACGCTGAAACCAGTATTTTATATTTCTGTCCCCCGCTTTCGCGAAAGCGAGGGGACATTAAATCTCATTTGTCTGTCCGCCTGTCCGTCAGTCTGTCCGTCTGTCCGTCACAAAAACTTTAACCTTGCCTATAACTTTTGATTTAGTGGAGTTATGACTTTCATATTTTACATGTATATTCCTTATGATAAGACCTTTCTTAGGGTACCACCAAATTTGACCTTTTGACCTTGACCTTGGAGTTTGGCCCACTTTTACACAAAATTCCAAACTTGTACTTTGGCCATAACTTTTGAATGGTAGAAATCAGTACTTTCACATTCCACATATGTATTCTTTGTGCCAAGACATTTCATTGAATACCAACAACTTTGACCTTTTGATCTTGACCTTAGAGATTTCCGTACTTATGTAAAAACTTTAACCTTGACCATAACTTTTGAACGGTAAGGGCTAGGGCTTTCATACTTCATATGTTTAATTTTTGTGAGAAGACCTTTAATTGGATACCAAGAACTTTGACCCTTTTACCTTGACCTTGGAGTTTGACCTACTTTTCAAAAACATTGCCCTTGGTCACAAATTTTGAACAGTATATACTAGGACTTTCATATTTAACATATGTATTCTTTGTGGAAAGAGCTTTCATTGGATATCAACAAACTTGACCTTTTGACCTTGACCTTAAAGATTTCTATACTTATGAAAAAACTTTAACCTTGACCATAACTTTTGAATGGTAAGGGCTAGGGCTTTCATACTTCACATATGTAATTCTTGTGAGAAGACTTTTCATTGAACTTTAACCCTTTGACTTTGACCTTGGAGTTTCGTGATGATTTCTAAATGAATGACATATGATAGGGTGTTCATATTACACACAATATGTCATAAAAATGACATCTCACCCACAAAGACACCGAAAGCGGGGGACCAAAATTCCTTGAATTTGCTTGTTGCTTTGAATATTGAATTGTTCGTTTGGTATTCAATATTCAAATATGTACTGTTTATTTGTTACCTGGTTCTACTCTTCTAACCATAGGTGTTAACTTTACAGTTTTTGAAAGGTTAACCGTTAGGCCTTCGGCGTTTGAGTGAATGTTCACCTATAATTACGGATCCTGGCCATGCATGCCTCTGGGAAAATATAAGTCATTCAAAGTAGCAGTAGAAACATACATTAAAATAAGGAATTCGACGAAATTCCTTTAAAAAAACATGGCCGTAGAAACAGGGAAGGGAACGGGGTCCGTGGGAGGGGCGGGACCCTCCCCAATAATTTTCCCAAAGTATAGAATACTATAAAAAACTAAGCTACATTATGCCAGTGTCCCCTCAATAAATACGTTTGATAACCGTTTTTTTGCTTGTCAAGGAATTTTTCATAGTTAATAGTACCGGACTTGAACCCCCCTCCTTTCCCCCAAACTGAAATTCCTGCTTACGGCATTAACGACCATTTACTGTCACATAGAAGTAAAGGAAGAACGTGTCCACATCAACGTGCCAGAAGAGAAAACAAGATTTCGGAAAAAAGCTAAGAAGCACTTTTCTCCATTGACGTACCTAACGCCTTTGTACTGAAGACAGTACAAGATCCGCTGTGTGTCTGATAAATCATCGTAATTGTTTCTAAAGGCGATTTCCCCATTTTGAAGCAAAACGCATTCCAGATCGTTTTAGCGGTTTTTCCCCATTTCCTTTTTTTCAATACCGAAGATTTAAAACAACAGTGTTGATTATCAAAAAGCATTGGCGTCATTTCATTAGGTCACTTGAGTATCTCAGGTGACTTATTAATATTGCTATCCGTTTTCGTCCGTCGTCGTGCGTCTTGTGTTAACAGTTGAACATTTTCAGCTTCTTCTCTAAAACTGCTGAACCAGTTTCAACCAAATTTGGTATACAGCATCTATGGGTAAAGAGGAACAAAAATTGTGAATTTTAAGCCCCCCCCCCCCTCTGGGGCCAGAGAGGTGGGGCCAAACCACTAAAATTATAGCAATCTTTAAAAATCTTCTTCTTTACTCCTGGACATTAAGCAGGTAAACTGTTGGCATGAATGTAATGAGCATTGAGTCCTCTACCAGAATTGTGAAATTCATGGTCACAGGGTCAGGGGTTCTAGTGCTAGGACGGGGCTATATAGATAGTATAGTGAAAATGCATGATTTACATTATCACAACTTTCATACAACATGTCTCGGAGCACGTACCTCTAAAAACTCAACAGCCAAAATTGAACATAAAGAAGTGTGATAACATATTTTATTTAGTTATGCACCAAATCACATCAAATTCATGTTAAAACTTATGAAAATAAAAAAAAAAAACATTTGCCAAGAGAATATTTGAAATCTTTATTGCAAAACTTTAACAAATTGACGTTGAATCTGTCCATGTCTTTCAGAAAAAAATCTCAAAATATCTTTATTTTTTTACAATTCTCAAAATCTAAACTGTTTAGATGCCATTTTTTCTTTAAAACTATTAAGAATTATATCTAAAGTTAACAAAAACACATACTTTATTGCGGTTGACCAGAGAATTTTAACAAAACAGTCTTTTGAAGACGTATACCCCCATTTTTGGAATATCAATTTTTTCAATTATTAATTGCAAAATTTTTTAAAAAGTAAAAATTAAATGGATGATATAGTCTTAAGATCAATAAAAATAGATCTCAAGTTAGTTTGCTACAAAGAAAAATTAAATAGTTTTAGGTCCATAAAAGCAATTGAATTAAGAATTTTGTGTATGTACTAAATGACATATAGATCCTTTGAACAGAGTGCAAAGTGTTAATTTCCATGAATAATATATATTAAATGCTTTGTATGCACAATAACACTATAATAAACGAATTAGTGTTGGCAACGAGTACTCGGTTAACCGTCGAACGTTGCGAGTATCGGTTAGTAAAACTGCTATTCGGTTACTCGGATAAAATAAATTCTACATAGTAAAGGCATAGAAAATGAATGTTTTATAATTTATAAATGTATACTAACTTACACATTTCCCTAATTTTAGGTACCGTTAGACTTGATCTAGTGCATGGTTGTAGTGAATCAAATTGTTTCGATTAGTTTTCACAGTTTATATAATTGATAGCTTTGATTGCTTGGGGTATACATATTTTGAAGGCCTGAGTTATAATTACCTCATTTGATAATTTAACGAGATGCCGCCGCAGACATAATAAGCTTGGAGTTGTAACAAAAGAACAGCTAATTCAAAATCTGTATAATCACATAAGCTTAAATTATTCGGAAACCATCGATTAACTGGACACTCCACATATAAACTATTAATTATGGAATGTGTAAATAAATATTCTCCTTGATTGCGACATATTTCGGGGGCTGAAAAAGAAAGTGTAAAATGGTGATTGACGATGACGTATTTATTTGCCTTTGTGTGTCGAGATCCCTATTAATTTTCTTTATTTTAAAATCGTAAATCTTTGACGATATCGTATGTGTGTATAATGTAAATATAATGTCCCTATACAGTATATTTGAGCATTACTACTACCGATAAGTAAAGATTAAGATAAATAATAGATATTGATACTTTTACCTAAAATCATCCGAGTAACCGGGTACTCGATCGGAAGATGAAGCGCGTAACCGGTTACTAAAAATCGTCCGATTTGCCAACACTAAAACGAATATATACTTGCTAAATTATTTTCAATCACCCAAAAAGATTTTATTTCAATAGACAAGTGATAATCAGAATTTTATATTGATGTGTAAAATTAAAACCGGATCCGTAAAAGTATGAACCTTCCTTAACAACATTTATCATTACACCTATTGTAAAGCATTCTTCATTATATAGTGAAAATGCATTAATTCTTTGAAAATCTTCTTCTCTGCTTCTGGGTATTAAATAAACTATGTAAGTACATAGTTATGTTGAGCAACAGGGCCTCTTCCAAAATTGTGAATTTTATGGCCCCAGAGTCATGGGGTCTGGAGTTAGGGCGGGGCTCTATTGATCATATAATGAAAATACGTTAATTCTTTGAAAATCTTTTTCTTTGCTCCTTGGTTTTATGCCAGTGATCCAAGTATAAATATTTTTGATGAAGAAAGGTGCATCTAGCAAACTGGTCATTTTTTATGCCCCCTCCCCCGGTCAGGGGGGGGGGGGTGGGGGTTACATAGTCTGAAAATAAATTAATTGTTTTAAATATTCTATTTTGTATTAATAAACCATTTTATGATAAAAATTGAAAAAAATTTGAAATATGTGGCCCCAGGGTCAGTGGCTCCTTCGGGATGAGGTGCACAACTGGTAATAAAGTGGAAGTGCATTTTCTCTTTATTACTCTGATCTACTTCTGG